TGGAGCCCATGCTGCTGAGCCGCCTGTGCCAAGTGCTTTGAATGTGCTACATAAACCAAGGGGACAAGGCAGTGACTGTGGCTTCTTGCAAAAGAAGTTTTAGTAAACTAAAATTAATTAAGAGCTACATTGGAGCATCCCCGGGTCAGGAGAGATTATCAAATATGTCCATCTTATCAATAGAACACAAGGTAGTAAATAATATTAATTTCAATGCAATTATTGATGAGTTTGCCTCATTAAAAGCACACAAAGTACAATTATAAACAAGTACCTGACATGGTGATATTTTATAATTATATGTATATATGTATTAATTGATTGTTTATGCAGCTCTCATAACTATGATAGATAAATATTGTGATGTTATTGTTATTAATTATTATTATTATATTTATGTATTTTCCCTTTTTCTATGAAATAACTACTATGAATATATACACGAGGGGGCACAATTTTATATTCTTGTCTCAGGCACAAAATTAGCTAGTTATGGCACTGCTCTCCCCTCTCCTCCTCCTCAATGGAGTGAAAAGAACATGAGTGGTTGGTGAAGGCACAGCTGGGGAGAAAAGCTCTACCCCTTCTTCTGAGGCCCTGCTCCCACATGGAGGCGGAGCAGCATGCAGTGTGCATGCTCCCTCTCCCAACCACAGAGAGAGGAGGGGAGCAGGTGGGCGCGCACTCACCTCAGCTCCCCCAGCCCTGGGGAGGGCAGGGGGCACGTGGAATGACCCCAGTCCCAGAGAAAGGCAAGCCATGTGACCCAGCGCAGCCCAGCTTCTCTAGCCCCAGAGCACCAGGGAATGAAGGAGGTCACTCCACGTGGCGTGGCCTCTTCAGCCCTAGGAAGGGAGGGCAGAGGGCACGTGGCATGGCCCCAGCCTCCACACCCCAGAGGTGGTCGGAGGGTGCGTGGCATGGCCCCAGCCTTCCATAGCCCTGGAGAAGGGTGCGCTGTGTCCTGGCCTGGCCTGGCCCAGCCCTCCCTCTTCAGCCCTGGAGCACGTGGAGGACAGGTGCTGGGGACAGCAGCACTCTGCCTCAGAATGCCTACTGCAGGCGTTTTGGGGACAGAGTATGAGCAGGGCTATGCCTGGTGGTTTGGAAAGGCCGAGCCTTCCCCTGCCTTACATTCTGGACACCCACAGTTTTGGGTCCCCCCCAAAGAAATGGGTGGGTAGTGTGGGAGTCTGAGCCTTCTCTCACCACTGGATATATAGCCACGTCTCCCCCATGATCCTCCAGTTGTTACAGAAAAAGATTCTTCAAGTGCTTGTTCGCATTGATTCCAATCAGGTGAATGTAGGCTGCATCTAAGCTAGGGGACTGTGCTTTCAGCCATGTCAACATAGCCTATTTAGTGTAAACCCACACCATCAGCTTTCATGTAGAAAGTGTTTCAAGTCCTCGGGTTTGGAGAGAAAAGGCTGAAAACATGATCTGAGTATGCCCTAAAGGCTCAAAAAAGCGAAGACGCATACGACTCAAAATCTATCTGTCATCTTATTTGTTTAAGTCAGTCTCATGGGCTTTTTTTATTTGGCTCATGATGGTGGTGTACCTGAGGTTGGCCTTCCTCCCAGGGTGAAGAATTTTGCTCTGATATAGCACCTATCCAGGGCTGGCTCGAGCCATTCCTGCGCCCCGGGCAGCGGGCGCGCGACATGTGCGGCTCTGCCCCCAGACACACGGCACATGCGCAGCCCCCAGTCCCAGGCACGCGGTGCCTGATGGCAGCTCTAAGGGGCACCCTCCTTAGGTTGGCACCCTGGGCAGCTGCCTGGCTAGCCCCCCCCCTTAATCCAGCCCTTCATCTATCAGAGTCCCCCAGTCAGAATCTGAAATGGTGCTCATGAGGGCTGAGTATGAACTTCTGTGATATGGTTATGGACTTTATCTTGGGGATTTTCTGAAGTTTTTTTTAATTAAATATCTGGAGAATTGCACCTTTACTGTTATTAAAACCACAATGGTAGAGGTGCTGTGTAGTTATTGAAGTGTAGGGGATAGGAGGAAAGATGCATTCAAAGCAATTCCTGGGCATGAGAAGCTGGTCAGTAAGCAGTCACATGTCAGGCACTACGCTTCCAGCATCTGCAAGCAATGTGGTGATCCCCCTAAGAATATTATATATCAAATAATTTACTCATCAAGTAGTCAATAGAATTTCCATCCACTACTGGATAGACACTTCCTTAGTCCTGGGGCTCTTGTACACTTTAAAGGAGGAATGCGGAACTCTACATACAGCCCAGGGTCAGTGGGAAGTCCCGCTAACTCCGGGCTGCATGCAGGTGCAAGCTTTTAAATGTACAAGAGTCCCAAGAGCGGCTCTTGTGCATTTCAAAGCAGAAGTGCGCTCCTGGAGTTTGTGGTCAGCGGGGGACTCCAAGTCCCCCGCTAACCCCAGGCTCAATGCTGCATGGCCGCTTTGAAATGGAACACAGAGCCCTGGTCAGCTGAGGACTTCCCAGCTGATCCCAGGCTCCATGCATGACATTTGCCCAGTACCCGGGATCAGCTGGGGAGTCCCCAGCTGCCCAGGTTCTGCACTGGAAACCAGGATCAGCTGGGGAGTTGCCAGCTGATCCCGAGGTCGATGTAAACATCATGATGGTGTTTCAAAGTGCAATGCCACATGGAGCCCGGTGTCAGGACCATGTAGAGCTGCCGCTTTGAAGTACCCCATTTCCCCCTCCCCCTTTGCTGTCTCTCTCTGATAGAGGCAGAAAAGGGGGAAGGGAATTGACTAGTCAACTCATATCTATATCTATCTATCTATATATATAGATGCCCCATAAGCAAATGCTTATCAGATAGTAGACTAGCCCTTAACGTGATCATCCTTAGATCCCACAGGCGCCCTGCAGGCAGCTGAGGAGACGCAGGGCAGATCCAAGTTTCCTGGGCAGCTCAGCCTGGTATCTCTGCTAGAGAAAAGCTGCGAAGCTCCGGCCCAGGGGGACACTGTGGCCTCCGCAGCCCAGGAAGCCGCCTTCTGCTTGCCACCTCCACACGACCAGCTTGGCCCCTTCCACGGAACGCTACACCCCTCCGGCGCGAGAGCGCAGAGTTAATGGACAGGCAGCTGGTGATGTTAGCGACCATGTGCGGGAGGCTGGCGCATGCGCAGTAAGGGTAGCGCTGAGCGCGTAGAGCAGGCATGTCCAAAGTCTGGCCCGCGGGCCAATTGCGGCCCGTGTTCCGGTTTAATACGGCCCCACAGGTAATTTGGCAATGTCTATCTTTTATGGCCCCCAACGAATCCATATGTATTGAGATGAATACATTGTAAAATCTCAGTTAATGTCAGTTGGCCTAAATCAGTTATAAATATATTTGGACACAACATGTATACTTGGTGTTATGTTCCTGTTCCTATTTTTTGAACTTAAAAGTTGACAGACAACCTTTATTACCAATAATATGTAATGTACTTTACAATGTTCCTGTGCCATATATTTCAGCTTCCTGGATTTTTTTTTCATCTGGCCTTCAGATATGAAAGGCAGAGTGATTTAACACCTGTTTAGATTTGTCATCCATGTGACGAAATGAAAAGTATGCCGTTTGCAATAAACTTTGCATAAAATAGTTAATTTGCATTTAATTTTAATGGTTCAAAGAATGTCGGGCAAAATGGTCGGCCCTCACACATGTTCACTTCATCAAATCTGGCCCTCTTTGAAAAAAGTTTGGACACCCCTGACTTA